ACTTGAGTTTTGAGTGAAATATAAAAAAATTAAAATCATGGTTTTTATTTCATTAAAATGAAAAATCACAGATCTCTGACAGCAGTAAAAGAAAGACAGAATAAAACATTTCTTGGTATTCTAACCTATAACTAAATGTATCTCAGAATGTTAACATATCATTCAATAATACTTATTAAAGGCCCATACATTCAGAGCCATTTTAACTCATAGCTATCCATTTAGCATATTTGATGTTAAAGGCCCATTTCATGCAACTTTTTATTAATTTAATATAAATATTTATGTTTTTGTTATCTTTTTCATATAAAATTAGTGTTTTATTGAAGAATAAACTCAACTAGGTTCCATTGCAGTTAAACAATCAAGTTGTTCAGAAGTGTTTTTTTTCCTTTCATAATTTTTAAATTTTTTCTTTAATGTGAAAATTATTGGGCAAATGCATATTTTGAGAGAAAAAAAAACACAGGGTACTAAAACGCTGTAACAGTAAATGAAGGTAAAAAAATGTGCTACATTTTTCAAAATCTTAGCAGACCGAGAAAAATATTATATTCTTAATTTTTTTATTTTAAAAAAAATAAATAAATAACAGAATACAAATGAAATCTTCAATCTTTCTATACTGCTGCTGTTTTGACTAAGAAAAAACAAATAGTTGAACATGGAAATTCTTTGCATAAAACATATATTAGGTTTGAACATAAACACAGAAAAATGTACATCAATAAAAACATGAATCTCAAAATGGAGAAAATAAAAACATTTTTAAAAGTGATTTAAAAGAATAGTTGATTCTTTGTTCCTTTGGGTAATATCTTGAATATATTTGAGCCGCGTCATGACAAAACCAACATAATGGGTTTGCAACCAGCATGGATCCAGACCAGCCTGCGCATCCACGCAGTCTGATCAGGATCCATGCTGTTGTTATTAGTTTCTCTGCTTGTTATAGGGTTTGTAAGCGTACAGCATGGATCCTGATCAGATCTGGATCCATGCTGGTCGCAAACCCATAATGTTGGTTTTGTCATGACCCGGCTCATTTGTTACTTTAAAAAAGCTTTAAAGGAGCTTCACTGAGGTCAAAAAGCCTAAAAACATAAAATTTGAAATTCTTACATAGATAAAGTAAAGCTCTTAAAGTGAAAACAATTTAGCAAAGGTAAATAAAGAGATATATTTTGAATTAAATTGAACATCAATTTTTGGTGCGACTTTCATCCTGATTTGAGTGGACAGTGTTGCAAAACTCTTCATTTTTGGGCCATTTTACACAATGAAAATGTTCATTCTGGGAAAATGGGATGAGCAAATGATCTGAAAATTTACACACTAGTTATTGGTTCAGACCAACATCAAATGGTTCACAAATCTCAGAAAAACATTTCCAGTCCTGTCATCACAAAAAAAATCTCAGTGGAGCCCCTTTTAAACATGAAAGTACATATGAGCTGTGTCACGACAAAACCAACATAATGGGTTGCGACCAGCATGGATCCAGACCAGCCTGCGCGTCCTCGCAGTCTGATCAGGATCCATGCTGTTGCATATCAGTTTCACTACTTGTAATAGGGTTTGTAAGCGGATGAGCAAGCTGGTCTGGATCCATGCTCGTTGAAAAAAAAAACGCATTACGTTGGTTTTGTCGTAACGCGGCTCATATATGTATGTAAATTAACAGCAGCTGTGTCCAAGATTGTGATCCTGATTACTTAGAAAACTGACCAATCAGAGACATCAGAGATATAGATATGTCTCTGGGTCAGTGTATTTTCTTAATTCAGTCTGGTATCCTGATTCCAACATTATTTAAAAGCTGTGTCTAAAGCCAAACAATCCTAATTTCTATTTGATAGTTTCAAATTCAATCCAAGTATTAACCAATCAGATTTAGTGAGACTGTGAAACATAGAATAGTAGTGAGATTTACAATGGAATAATTTCATTGGCGAGATTCACATATCTGACACAGAATTAACCAATCAAATCATCGAGGATAAGTGTAACTGGTCTAGGATAAGTGTAACTGGTCTATAACAGCTAATTTACGTAATAATTAATATGCAAATCATGTAACAAATCAGTGTTTGTTTGTATAATTGTTTGTTTAATTGGGTTTTACGTCACACTGACACATTATAAGTCATATGGCAACATTCCAGCATTTCTTGTGGAGGAAGACCTCAGGTGCCCTTCTGTGCATTATTTGAGGCACGAACGGGTACCTAAGTAGAACCACAAACAGTCCGTAAGCTAGCTGGATAGCTTCCTCTCATGAAGGAATCCAAAGTCCCTGTCGGGATTTGAACCCACAGCGGTAAGGGGCAAGTGGTTTGAAGTAAATGACCTTAACCACTCGGCCACAGACGCTCCACATTGGCATGTGTACTAAATTCCTATTTAATCTGTTATAAAATAAATATTAACATTTTCATTTTGTTATAAACTTTCAGTAAAATTTGATCATAGCATTAAACAATTTAACATAAAAGAGAGAGTGAAATCAAATATGGAAGCATTAACATCATATATAAGTCTGAAATGAACATCTAGCTGAGTGTGTTTCACTATTTTCAGTGTCTGATAGTAAAAACAAATGCAAATCAGAAATTTTATAACTTCACACAAGCTTATCATTCAGTACAAATCCATGCTAGAGTTGTAGGTATTATCTTAAACAGATTTTATTTTAGTTTGATTGTGTAGGAAGCTCTAAGCTTATAGATATACTCTTTGAACCTTTCCTGGAACCAACCAGTACTGATGAGAGTAAAGTTTCTTGCTTAAAGGAAACAAAGGCTTGCCTCTGGCATGATGGACCCAGGTGGCTAAAGATTCTTAGATTACTAGTCAGACATGTTAATCATTTGGCCATGCCGCAATATCATAGTTATACGTCTTGGTCGGGACTTACAGGTACAATCTAACAGACATCAGTGAAGTTTTAAAGGCCTATCTTCAATGTGGTTCTGGAGACAGACTTTTCAGGCAGAATATTTTTCAGGAATTTTAAAGTTTACAAAGGGATATAATTCTGTCATAAATCATGCCAGTAGAGAGATCCACAAGTATGACCATATAGTTATGTTTGATGTAAAGTATAAAACCATAGCCAACATCATGGCCTAAAGAACAAGTAAGATAGCCCAACTTTTCTTTGAATAGTTAGCTAACGAAATGCATCCCAAATATGTTTGTAGAGAATATTTATTCCTATAATTAACTAAAACAATTATTGACTTACTTATACAGTTTCAACTGTCTTATACTATAACAACAACTGGATAATGTAAGAGTAAAAGAAGTTACATAAAATGAAAGCCCAAAATTCTGGTTAAAAGTCATGGCAAAAAAGCATAGGTGATGAACAGAAAAAATAACGCTATAAAAACAAAACAAACATACATGCATAATGTCTAAATCATCCAGGTATGCTCGGAAAATTCTGATATCTCTTGTCTCAGATGTCCCAGAAATTGAAAGTGAAATGGTCCTTAATGAAAGGTCTATATTACTATAAATAATCATGGTGACAGTATTTAGTATCATACATTACAATAAACCATGAAAGAATTATACATGGAAGTTGTTGGTTAAGTGTGAGATACATAATCCGATATGACATATCTACATGATCCGATATGACATATCTACATGATCCAATATGACATATTTACATTATCCGATATGACATATCTACATGATCCAATATGACACATCTACATTATCTGATATGACATATCTACATGATCCAATATGACATATCTACATTATCTGATATGACATATCTACATGATCTGATATGACATATTTACATAATCCGATATGACATATCTTCACGATCCGATATGACATATCTACATGATCTGATATGACATATCTATATATAGCAGATAATAAATTCTTAAAGATCAAACTATCATTTTTTTAACCATTTAAAATTAACTGTTCATACAGAATCAATTATAAATTTTTATAAACCTGTTTTTTTGTCAGGAAATTTTTATAAGAATATTGATATGATATATATCTATTGTTTTGAATAAATATTTGAAATACTAATGGAATACGTGTCAAATATGAGTCAATTCTGAACAGATTCACTTTAAACTAAATGACTAGCATGTATGTGACAAACTGAAACACTGTGACAATAAATACATGTAGTTACCAATGTCACATTTTGGTGCTTGAATAAACTGTCTAAAATATATATTTGGTGTTTGGTGCTTTTTTACTAGTGATAATGAAACTGGTTCTGTTACACAGTAAATGCATAAAACTTCAAAATGTATTGTAAAATAACTTAAGACAACATTAAAAACATTTTATTTATGTTGTTTGAGATAAAGCCCTAACATTATATTTCTTTCAGACCAATAAGAAAAATGGTTTTGTGAAATACATAGGCAATAATAAAAATGTGTATGCAGGTGAGAAGCCAAGCTAAAACATATTCCAAACAGTGGTAGCAAAAGCAAACAAAATTCTGAACTAAACTGATGGTTAAAACTATAATTCAAATACCTTAAATACCAGTAAATATCAAATGGAAAAAAAAAAACAAACAAAAAAAACAAGACATTTCAATGAAAAAAAAAATCCAATGGAATGGTCAGTAAATATGTCTAAGTTTGACAAGAAAAAGTCACTTACAGTGCAAAAGTCATAACTGTGTATGTAAAGGTAAAAATCATTGAAATTCTAAGAAGTACTGCAGAGAAAGAATATGTGATTATTAGATTTAGATTAATGAGCCGCGTCATGACAAAACTAACATAGTGCTTTTGCAAACAGCATGGATCCAGACCAGCCTGCGCATCTGCGCAGTCTGATCAGGATCCATACTGTTAGCTTACAAACCCTATAACAAATAGAGAAACTGATAGCAAACAGCATGGATCCTGATCAGACTGTGTGGATGCACAGGCTGGTCTGGATCCATGCTGGTCGCAAACGCATTATGTTGGTTTTGTCATGACGCCGCTCATTTGTAATTTAAAACGAACATTGTGCTTAATACTGTTTTGTATATATGACAACATATCCTGATACCATGATATGATTTGGAAAACTTCAGCCATTTTATTATCATGATAGTAGCTACAAAAGTTAAAGGAGCTCGACTGAGGTTAAAAACCCTAAAAACAAAACTTTGAGATTCTTAACATAGATCAAGTGTAGTATTTACAATGGAAAAATCTGCTCTTGATTAAAAAAAAAGAAGAAAAATATACTCAGAATTGAATTGAACATCAATATTTGTGCAATTCTTAGACTGGTTTGTGTGAAAAGAATTGTTACGCTTTTCAATTTTGGGTCATTTTGTTCAATAAAAATAATTATTCTGAAAAAATAAACACACAAAAACTGGCTGGTGGAATGATCTTAACATTTGCACATAATTTATTGGTTCAGACCATTATCAAGAGGTGTATAAATCTTGGAAAAATATTTCCAGTCCCGTCATGTCAAAAAACCTCAGTGGAGTCCCTTTAAAGTTACATCAATATCTTCTGTAAAAACAATATTTTCTTTGTGTCAAAATATAAAATGAATATAATACAAAATACCAATGCTATGTGTTTACCTTTCAACTTATCAAAAACAATGCATTTCTTAAAACTGTGTTTTTTTTCACTTGCAACTTAAAAAAACAAACTTGATGACCTTATTCTTTGAAATTTTCATTTTTTCCTAAAGAAAACTAAAGAAAATCTTTCTTAAATAAAAAGTGCCCTATTAAATGAATACAATGTGTGATAATGTAGTAACATTTTGTAATAGTTCAGAAGCACACAACTTTTTTCTTATCTAATGATAGATCCCTACTCTGACCTTTTATTTGTATAACAATAGATTTAACCACAAACATGAACAATTGTGCTCTTTTGTTAACAAATATGTTCTTGAGAAACTTTTACTGCATCCACTTATTTGATAATAAGTAATACTAAAGTTAAGGATCTATGCATTTGCTTGGGTTCAAACACAAATAAACCAGTTGAATTTCTAAAAAAAAATCTCTAAGGTTTCATAATGGAATGTATAAATTCCTGATCATTCCTGAATATATAGTGTTACATACATTGTATGTATTAACCTTTTTGGTTCATTATTTATTACAAACATGAATTCTGTTATTATGTAACGCAACATGTAACATTTCAATATCACAATAGGAATTGAAAAAATCTTGACATTTTGTAAAATACAATGTTATAATGTAAAATTACAAATATCTTTTAACAAAAAGATTTACAGCTTATTGGATTTGGATATATCACTTGTTTTAGATCATAGCCTTTTGATTGGTTAAAAATTTATTTTTTGAATTTTAAACCGACCAATGAGAATGGTTTTAATATACACATTAAATACCATTTACTTTTGATTGGTTAATTTTTTTTCTGAATTTAAACCGACCAATGAGAAAATGTTTATTATACAAATCAAATACCATTTAAATATAAAATCAACACAAATATTGAACTGATGGAGGAAATATATTTTGAAGGATTTATTTTTAAATGGATATGATCACTGAATACTTAAAGTACTCTTAAATCTTATCAAACAATAATTACTATAACATCTCATATACCATATTGTTTCCATTTAGCACCCCCTCTAATAAGCGTCCCTAACCACATTTTGTAGAAGAAATAAATCTTACCCTATAAATTTATAATCCATAATGAAACAATCTAAAAACTCCAAATATTTTAATGATAAAAGATCAAAATAATGATTTATGATTTTTATAATTGAATTGTATCTTTAATACACATATTTTAAAGCACATTTTTTTAGTTCTAATTATCGCCCCAATTTGATAAATATGTAAGCCCCGGGGCGTTAAATGGAAACAATATGGTTGTTTGCCACACAAGAAAGTATTGGGACAAGTTTCGAGTCTCTCATCAAGACTTGAGACTTGATATGGGACTATCAAGTAGATAAGTGTATTTTCATTTGAAACTGACAAATCCTTTCTTGACATAACAGAAGCCAAGAAGCCAAGTCTTTCACATATGCCATATTGCTATTCTTTGCATAATTAATGATATTTATATATAAAAACTTGGGAAAACATAAAATATTTCATTATGAAATTTGAACAACAAATATTATGTCATTATTGATTAAAAATTATTTTTTTTTAATCCATTTCCTCTTCTTTTGATTCCATCTTTGCATATATCATTTTAAAAACGTACATACCGGTATTCCTGACAAAAAAAGCAACAACATGTTTTAACATTTCTTCTCCAATTTTCAGGTGCGTTTCTATTCAGATTTAAATGGAATTCTAGCAAGAAGTTATCCCCAATTACAACAAAACTAAATTTAAAAATTTAAAATAACCAGTCTATAACTCCAATCATTTGATTGGCTATCCCTGCCCTGAATCTGAATTTTAACCAATGACATCACAGCATTTATTGACTGGTCTTCAAATTTTAAATAACTTAAAGAATGATTCTATATCCTCTGAAATCTTAGGAAACCGTTCTGCAGTAAAATATTTGATTTTGAAACTTCAAACTACATCACAGCATTACATGACTGGTTTCAATTATTTAAATTCAGTGATTGTTCTATATCACTTAACATACCTAAAATAGAAAATGATCAATGTTTTTTCTGTTTGGTTATTATTTTGGTCTGCTGATATAAAATTCTGCATTCGTATATTCCTTGTATTCAAACTGCTACATATGTGAAATATTGGAACATATTGTTTATCCATCAGTACACCATGGCAAGATAATTCCAAATTTCAATTCCTGTCATAAAAAGCACTTGCTACACATGACTTCATTCAAGCACTGAAGAACACTACTGTTGAATATTGTCTTTGATAAAGCCCAAGATAAAATGCATCAAATATGCATCAATTATATATAAAACACAGTGCACTATAGTATATTTATTACACTTTTAGTGTAGTTCTAATTCTGGAACGTCGTGTAGGCTTGGCAGGGGACATTGACTGGGTGATCATGTCATCCATTTCTGGGTACAAACTTAAACCAGGAATGTTAAATATAGAGGCGACTGAAAAATCAAAACAAAACAATCTATGTATTATAAATCTTTTATATTATAAAATAATACCTTTTGTTTTTTCTTTCTTTTTAGTGGAACTTAAAGGCCAAGTATGCCTCAGAAATGCTTTGATTTTATTTCTCAAAAGCTTTTTTTTATTTTGGTGTACTTTTCTAGTATCCAAAAGGTTACTCATGGCAAATTACCTGAACCATCTTTTTCTTATGTTGCTTTTTGGCAATACAAACACTTATACACTATTATAGTGAACTAGTATTTTGTATGGAAGTCATAATACCACTTTGTTTACATTTTTCTACTTTTATAACAAATAATTTCTCATTTATGGCTACTTCCAACAGGTAACAATCATCTTACATTCTCTAAAACTATCATTTCAACATTATCAAATTCATGTTTGCCCTTTTTTAATAAGTAAAAATTTATTTGCTTTTGAGGCATAATGTGCCTTTAAAGTAACATAGCCACAATCAGTGGTATTATAACAACTTTACAGCTGTATTGGTGGATATAAACTTGTCTTATGCATTATTGTACATGTATAATCAGTGACAGTATAATAAGTTATTGTTATTGATAAAATTATTGGTTGTCATTAACAATATTTAAATGAAGTGGTGGCCTAGTGGTTAAGGTGTCTGTCTCTCAATCCTGGGATAATGGGTTTAACCTTAATCGGGCTACAACCATGTTTCTTCATATGACACCAGTACTGGTTGGTTCCAGAAAGCAGACTCAAAAGTGATTAATATATGCTGCAAGAACTTGTTTCGCAATTAAGCTTAAATAGATATGTTTCAACCAACATTAATAAACATGTCTATTAGAAAGTGCTGGCACAACTTTGCCTATTAATTTCACATTAAATATGTATGCTGAATACTGATTATTGTTATACATAATTAATGAATTCTGTTTAAAAAGAAAAGTGTCAACTGGTTAAAAATTCTATAGCCGGACTAGAAAATATTTGAAATCAATCATTAAACAATCATACAGACTTTTAACAATAAAAAAAATCAAAAATTATTATTACAGATTTATAAATCATTAAAAGTAAAGTAATATAACAGTCAATACCTTCAGGTAAATCATGAATTTTTGTCGGTAAATCACAAAAATAATCATGCCACATGGCGGCTTTAGCTGAGATTCTTTGTCTTGGATCCATCTGAAATAAATAAAAAATAATATTGATATTGATGATCTGACCAAAAAACATCATAGATTGGTTTAAAATAAAAGCATACTATATTAAGATGTATATAATTTGGTGGAATGTTTTCTCTCGTTATTACCCTAAACTATATAAATGTTACACACATGTCCACCTTCAAATTTAGAATTGCAGGCTGTCCTTACTCGAGCAGTCCAGGTTGTTGTGAACAGACTTTATCACAACTGCCAATCAAAAAAGTATAGATTTAGATCTAGTACCAAGGGGGACAACTACTGAGAACTTCATTTAAAAGCAGTAGTAAAAGATCAGTAGTCTCCCTTCTAAAAATTTCCAAAAAAATGTCACACTCCAAAAGTTCCAAAATGTTTCATATAAATAATTTATCCATATATAAATGTTGTTTAAACTGAGTGGCACAAGATAAAGAAGGGTCTTCCTGCATTAGACATTGTAAGTAAAAACTAATGGCAGCGATCTTTCCCCTATATTTTACAACCGAATAAAGGCTGTTTCCCAAGCCCAAAATAGGTATATTTTCCACTTAAAATGCTAAATATTTCCCCAAAAATGCGCTGTGCACATTCTTCCCCAGAACCATGACTTGACAGCAGCTGACTTATATCAGCTAGATGATAAATTCAATTGACTGAAAAACAGAACACTGTCCTTATAGATAGCCTCTTGTTATGTACTATGCATATTAAATTGAACTGAAATTGGAAATTTTATAAAAAGTTTGGGTGTTGTTAAATTCCATTCTCAGTTGTTGGAATATGATTTCAGGTTTTCCCCCTTTTCTGACTTATCATGTTATATTTTCCCCTTCAGAACATGACAGGTTGGTTTGAAAAAGAAAAAAATCACTGTATGGCGACCATTCTTACCTGTAGGAAATCATTGACCAGATCTTCTGCATGTGGCAGATAGGCAAGTTTTGGAACTATTGTGGAAAGACTCTGTTTAGTATAATTGACAAATTTTCCTGAAAAAATGTATTAGAAATGTTTTAATTGAAACACAAATAGATGACATTATTTAATTTTACCCATGAAATATGGTGCTATATTAGTCAAATATATTTCATGTTTTTAAAAAATAAATATGAAATATAGATATGAAAGTGGGCAGAGTCAAAAGGGACTTCTTTCGCCATTTTGTTTGAAAAATCTGAAAATTCAAAACAAATTTTTGTTGAATTTTGTTGTGAAAACTATCTAGAATGATAGAAAATGGTCTAACTAAGAAATTAAATCCGAACACCAATATCTTTAATTCAGTCATTAAGCTGTACAGATGTTTAAAGAGTTGTTTACGTGACGCCACAATGTAGCACTAAATATCATGTGCAAAACAAGACAATTATTATATTACTGCGCGCTGTACAATTGCAGTTGCTTAGCAAACAAGGGTATCTTAACCATTTATTTTTTCGTTTTTCGTGAAATATGGTATATATTTTCTCTCAACATGATATAATGCCGTATATTTTCACTCGCCGTCCTGGCTCGTAAAAATATGTGGCATTTTATCATGTTTCCTGAAAATATATTCCATATTTCATTCAAACGAAAAAATATCCTCTTAGAAATATCAAGAAAAACCATATATAAGAAAATTACTTAAAATAGGACCACTCCAGTAATAAAATATTAGTTAATTAGATGATTATTGGAATCCTATTAGCAAATTACATGTGTGATAGGGCTACATTTAGGTAATCATTTAATTGTAAGTTGTTGCCCTTTAAATGCACTTTAGGCTTATTTACCTTACATTGTTTGTTAGAGTTATTTTGATTGGAACTTTCGGTTTAATTCTATATTTTCATTGGTTGGCTTGATTAAAATTCTTCAATTAGTATAGAACTTGTTATGACCTATTTTGACTGTAAATATTAAAGGGACTCCATTGAGGTTTTTTGACATGACGGGACTGGAAATAATTTTTTGAGATTATTTCTCCATTTGATGTAGATCTATACTAATAAGGTATGTGCAAAATTTCAGGTCATTAGCTCCCTTCGTTTTTTTCCAGAATAATTATTATAATAGTGAAAAATGACCCAAAATTGAAAAGCGTTTAAATGCTTTTCACCCAAATCGGACTGAGAATAGCACAAACATATGATTTTCAATGTATTTCTTGTATATTTCTTGGCTATATTTTATTTATATTTCTGTTTTAAGTGCTCATGTTTATCTATGTGAAAAATTAAAATTTTATGTTTTTAGGCTTATAAACCTCAGTGGAGTTCTTTTAATAAGACAAACCACTTACTGTCATCATACTGTGGAAATTTAGAGACTCCAGACCAGGTTTTCTCAGAAGGGGTTCCCAGTATCTGTAAAACAAAGACACAAAATTACAACAATTATCAGTACATCATTAATATATAATCAGGTTCCCAGTATCTGTAAAACAAAGTCAAATATTATAACAATTATCTGTACATCATCAATATATAATCTGACTGAAGTTTGTAATGTTACATACAATAAATAAGAATAAGAGCTGTCTGTAGGACTATTGTGTCCTTGCTAGTAAAACACGAGCCTGGATAACTTAGTTTTTTCTGAGTTCAAAAAAAGGGCTAAATTTTTTCAAATATAGGTTAGAATTTTACCCTTTGGCCATTGAAGTGAAGTTTCAAAACATTCCCTTCAGTACTTTAGGAGATACCAACTTGCACACAAAAACTTAGCAAAAGTGCAACCCTTACATGTGGGGGAGTACAAAGGACTGACCCCTTTTCTTTTTTATAGTCAAGCTAAGAACTCTGTTTTAAGCTCACTTTCCTAACAAGACCTGCCCATAGGACAGGGCATTCATGTATTCTCAGTGCTTAATAGCAAAATAGTAAAACAAGATTCACACAAGGGAAGATTCCTTCAGACAAGTTACTACATGTACCATTATGATGGCAAACATATGTGAAGTTTCACGCAAATAAATTTAGTGGTTGACGAAATACAAACATCCACATTAACATTTAAAAAAAATTCTGTCACACAAAAAGTTTTCTTGTCTACTTTTAGTGCTTGATAGTAAAAAATGAACAGTATTTCAATTAGTGACAATTTTCTATCATAATTTACTACGTAAACTACGTATGATTATCGTAAATTTGTGTGATGACACAAGTAAAGTGCCTGCTGGTACTTGAAGAGACAAGCCTTTGCCACCAGTATAGAACCAGGCCAGCCTGTACATCTATGCAGTCTGACCAGGCTCTGTACTTTTACCTGATTGACTTTATAAATTTTCGGTAGCAAAAGCTAAAACTTCAAGTTCCATAAGGGTAAGAGCTAAACTATACAATACAGCTTAGCTACCATGTTTTTTTTATACATACTCTGAAAATCTGGTCCAGCTGATCGTAGGCATCTTTCATGCCAGGGAATGTGGCCATACCCGCTAACATCTCTGTAAATATACAACCTACACCCCTGAAAAATATACAAATATGTGAATTAATCATACACCATATAAATATACAAATGTTTTGGCAAATATACAACCTACTCCCTCGAAAATATACAAATATCTGAATAAAACATACACCATATAAATATACAAATATCTGAATAAATCATATGCCATAAAAATATACAAATATTTGAACAAATCATACACTACAGAAAATATATAAATGTTCGAATAAATCATACAACATAGAAAATATACAAATATTTATTTAAATCATCATATACATAATAAAAATATACAAATATTTTGGTAAATATACAATGTTCTCCCCTAAAAATATACAAATAACTGTGTTAGTATGAAGCATGCACCATAGAAAATATACAAATACTTCTGTTAATATAAAATCTACTCCCGTGAAAATATACAAATGTTTCTGAATAATTAACAATTATCAAAAATACAAACATTAAATATACACAATCTACTCCCTATCAAATATACAGCAGGAGTTCTATGTGTCAAACTTCGGATAGTTAATTTTTTGATATGCTGACGAAAAATGTCCCGATTCTTTCCTCCTGTATATTCTTAATAAAACCTAAATAAGAATCAAATTGTGTTAAAGTTTTTACAGTTTTACTATTAACATTTACCTTATATCTATGTCCTATATTACATTTAATAAAGCCATAAAAACACAATTTTAATTGTTTTGTTTGGTTGGAAACTTACCACATATCTAGGGATGTTGAATAGTTTGTAGAACCAAGGAGGACATCTGGTGGTCTATACCATAACGTGACTACTTCGTGGGAATATGTATGACTAGGAATTGATTTGGCTCGTGCTAAACCTAAAACCATGAAATATTGATCTATGAAAATTATATTACGACAAAAATAAACATGTTTTACTTATTAAAACACTACTATCACTAAGCAGCTATTGACTTTTCATAGCAAATTGTTGTAAATTTCCATAGTAACCAGTGACTTCTATAGCAAACATTGACTTTTTGCATAGCAACCGGTGAATTCCATAGCCAACATTAAATTTCTATAGTAACCAGTGACTTCCATAGCACAGCAACCAGTGAATTCCAAAGCAAACATGAACTTTCCATAGCAAAGAGTGAATTTCATAGCATCCACTGACTTCCAAGGAAACCACTGATTTTGTACAGCAACTTAGACTTTTAGTTTCAAAGCAATATTCTTATTTTATTCTTTGGGTTATAAGTTGCATAAACACTTTTAAAGTCATATGGCAACTTTCTAGCTTTACTGGTGAGAAAAAGGGGACCCTTTTTTTTTTTTTTTTTCAAGGTGCCGTCTTCCATGTTGATTTCTGCAACAACTTCAACTTGAGGAAGAAACCACCCCACAGTTCTGTAACTTAGCTTGATAGCTTCCTCATAATGAAGAATCCAGAGTCTATGGCAAGATTGGAACCCATAACAGTGAGGGGCAAGTGGTTTAAAGTCAAAGATCTTAACCGCTCAGCCATGGATGCCCCTATTCACAGCAATATTTCGCATTATTTTATTGCCTTATCTTCAAGAAATTTACTTAAATGTAATAACATTTGAAAGGTTTTATACTTGTATTGAATTACCAATATCTCCAGTTGAGGTTTTATAATATTTGATGTTTATTTGAAAACAAGAAAGATTTAAATGATACTTTATTGAACACACAGGGACAAACAAAACTGTCACTTGAGATAACAAAATGTGATTCTAGTTTATGAAAGGTAACAAAATCTTACCAAAGTCAGCTAACTTCAGCTCGCCCGCTTCACTTATTAGAAGATTTTGGGGTTTGAGATCCCTGTAATTAAAATAATCATAAACTTTTCAAATTATTGTTTTCTAATTGAATGTTACAAGTTTTTATGCAAACCAATGTCAAATTCATAAAATAAAGACCAAAGCAGTAGCATACAGGATTTTTTTATATTATTACAAATGGTATATTATAAGTCAAACAAAACTTCACTACGATAGAAGTTTTAACAAATTAAAATCAACTCAGATAAATCAATTTTAAGCACCAGCTAAATCAATGTGACAAAACAGTAACTTCTAACCCACATCAACTTGATTCAAACTAAAGATCTCCAAGCTTATAATAACCACTTTGTCACAGTTTCTAAATTAAATAAATTATCACATATTATGCATATATGGCAATAATCAAGATCTAAAGGTAGACCAGGGTGGTTGACTATTCCCATTGCATACCGTAATAGTAAAACAAAAGACCAGATAATGTAGAACTTTTCAAGTTCAAAAAGAGCCATAATTCTGTCAAAATCCATGTTATGAGTTGTGGGCCTTGGTCAGTGAGCTCCTTCTATGCTCACAAATGTATAATAAATGTTTAAACCCATTCATTTTAGTAGTTATGAAGAGATCAACTTGCATGCAAAAACATAATCAAAATGTGACACTGACATCTGTGTGAGTACAACAGCACTCCCTATTCTTTAAGTAGTCAAGCTGTAACTCTACTATTACCACTGTTATACAACTGAATTACTTCATTTACATATTAAATGAACATAATGTAATTTAAATACAAGAGTATGGTATGCAGATTTATTTACAACACTGTGAATAATGCATTAAACAATGGGAGATAACTCCAGTTGTCTGACACACTCAATAACATATTGAAGCTCTTCCAAAAGAGCAAAATTGACAAGTGGCAACTTTACTTAAGAAATGCAAAAAGTGGCAACTTACCCATGTAAAGCAAAAAGTGGCTACTTACCTATGTAAAGCAAAAAGTGGCAACTTACCTATGTAAAATCCTCCTGTGATGACAATATGCTAAACCTCTGAGAAGTTGAAACAAAAATAACTGAAATACAACAATAAAACATGTTTATATAGAGGCTACTTCATAATTTCATACTTGGTAAATTACATACAATTTATTATTAACTTTGTTTTAAGCCCATATCAACACATGGTTTTGGCCATATCTTGACAGCAGATCCACCTAAGTAATTTTTCTATATATGTAAGCTGTAATATTCAATTTCCCTGCAAGTGAACAACTACTATTCCTGCAATTTCTTCTAATCAGTGGAGACAGATAAATTGTCAAAGATGTAATTGTGACTTCCATAACAAATAATCATATAAATTGTAACTATATACTTCATAGTATAAGTATAGAATCTTGGAATTCTAGCAGAATGCAAGCCCAAATAGCTCAATCAGGTAGAGTGCGAGACTTATTATCTCAACATTGCAGGTTCAATTCCCAAAATTACTAACAGTCTTTCAGATGAGACTTTAAATCAAGGTCCCGTATGAGTAATCAAACACTTGGAAAGGAACTAGGAGAAGCTTCTAGAATCGGGGCATCTTTCTGTAAATATATCTTGGCACTATCCTCCAAAATCTAAAATGACTAATACTCTTCTGGAGGACTAGCCCATATGGGAAAACGGTGGCGAGTATAAATTAACTCAAATACACACACACAAATTCTATCAGTGATAGCCATTTGCCTAGGCCTTGACCAGTATAAATCAGTATCAGTCACACTACCCTGCAAAACCATGAGGAGTGATCAAATTTTGTCCTGTCGTCTGCTCAATTTCAGATATTTGACACTGAAACCCCTTCAAATTATAATGGACTCCTCCAAATTCAAAGAAGAGCAAGTTCATAATTAAAACTTAGGGATGAAAAGTTTAAACGAACATGCCACTAGCTGCAATTGAGTAAAATTGATTTTAATGTAGAACATCAATACTTAATGTAGAACATCAATACATGAAAATGTACCTAGGCTACAAGTTCATATTCACTGTGTCAGACAGTTTAAACAATATTCTTTCAAAAAAGTACCTTAGGGGACTGAAACAGTGTTTGAAAAGCTGATAAACTGTAAAGTATTAAGATTGCTTTCACACTAGCAGATAGCGTTATGATTAAATTGGGAAGCTGTATATGCTGAAGAAACAATGTAAATGTCTAAAATACACCCCCCTCCACTCCAAAAAAATCTTTATGCAAGTGCCACATCTGTCAATAAATTAGACATTGCATTTCTTCTGAAAACATCTAAGACACATTCCCCTGACAAAAGTTGAGATGTATTTCTGACAATATAATAATTATATTATACATTTTCCTGACAATCTCTTAAATCTCTTAAATACATTCTCCTGGCAATGTCTTAGAGACATTCTTGTGATAATATGGGAAAGTAACTCTTCTGACAACATCTTAGAGATATTCTCCTGAAAATATCTTAGAGACATTCTCCTGACAAATCTTAGAGAAATTCTCCTGACAATATCTAAGACATTCACCTGACAATATCTTAGACATTCTCCTGACAATATCTTAGAGACATTTTACTTACAATATCTTAGAGACATTCTCCTGACAATATGTGAGACATTCTCCTGACAATATCTTACACATTCTCCTGACAGAATCTAACAGACATTCTCCTGACAATATCTAAGAGACATTCTCCTTACAATATCTTAGAGACATTCTCCTGACAATATCTGAGACATTCTCCTGACAATATCTTAGAGACATTTTCCTGACAATATCTTAGAGACATTTTCCTGACAATATATGAGAGACATTCTCCTGACAATATCTTAGAGACATTCTCCTTACAATATGTTAGAGACATTCTCCTGATAATATGTGAGACATTCTCCTGACAATATCTTAGACACATTTTCCTGACAATATCTTAGAGACATTTTCCTGACAATATATATGAGAGACATTCTGCTGATAATATCCGAGAGATATTCACCTGACAATACCTGAGAGAAATCACCCGACAATATCTTAGAAACATTTTCCTGACAATATCTGAGAGACATTCTCCTAACAATATCTTAGAAACATTCTCCTAACAATGTCTGAGAGACATTCTCCTGACAATATCTTAGAGACATTCTCCTAACAATATGTGAGAGATATTCTCCTGACAATATCTGAGAGACATTCTCCTGACAATATCTGAGAGACATTCTCCTAACAATACCTTAGAGACATTCTCCTAACAATACCTTAGAGACATTCTCCTGACAATATCTTAGAAACATTCTCCTGACAATATCTTAGAGACATTCTCCTGACAATATCTTAGAGACATTCTCCTAACAATATCTGAGAGAAATTCTCCTGACAATATCTGAGAGACATTCTCCTGACAATATCTGAGAGACATTCTCCTGACAATATCTTAGAGACATTCTCCTAACAATATCTTACATTCTCCTGACAATATCTTAGAAACATTCTCCTAACAATATCTGAGAGACATTCTCCTGACAATATCTGAGAGACATTATCCTGACAATATCTTAGAGATATTCTCCTAACAATTTCTTACAGACATTCTCCTGACAATATCTGAGAGACATTCTCATGACAATAACTTAAAGACATTCTCCTTACAATATCTGAGAGACATTCTCCTAACAATATCTTAGAGATATTCTCCTGACAATATCTTAGAAACATTCTCCTGACAATATCTTAGAGACATTCTCCTGACAATATCTTAGAGACATTCTCCTAACAATATCTGAGAGAAATTCTCCTGACAATATCTGAGAGACATTCTCCTGACAATATCTGAGAGACATTCTCCTGACAATATCTTAGAGACATTCTCCTAACAATATCTTACATTCTCCTGACAAAATCTTAGAAACATTCTCCTAACAATATCTGAGAGACATTCTCCTGACAATATCTGAGAGACATTATCCTGACAATATCTTAGAGATATTCTCCTAACAATTTCTTACAGACATTCTCCTGACAATATCTGAGAGACATTCTCATGACAATAACTTAAAGACATTCTCCTTACAATATCTGAGAGACATTCTCCTAACAATATCTTAGAGATATTCTCCTGACAATATCTTAGAAACATTCTCCTGACAATATCTGAGAGACATTCTCCTGACAATATCTGAGAGACATTCTCCTGACAATATCTAGAGACATTCTCCAAACAATATCTTAGAAACTTTCTCCTAACAATATCTTAGAGACATTCTCCTTACAATATCTTAGAGACATACTCCTAACAATATCTTACAGACATTCTCCTGACAATATCTGAGAGACATTCTCATGACAATAACTTAAAGACATTCTCCTTACAATATCTGAGAGATATTCTCCTGACAATATCTTAGAAACATTCTCCTAACAATATCTGAGAGACATTCTCCTGACAATATCTGAGAGACATTCTCCTGACAATATCTGAGAGACATTCTCCTGACAATATCTAGAGACATTCTCCAAACAATATCTTAGAAACATTCTCCTAACAATATCTGAGAGACATTCTCCTGACAATATCTGAGAGACATTCTCCTGACAATATCTTAGAGACATTCTCCTGACAATATCTTAGAGACATTCTCCTGACAATATCTTAGAGACATTCTCCTAACAATATCTTAGAGACATTCTCATGACAATATCTTACAGACATTCTCCTGACAATATCTTAGAGACATTCTCCTGACAATATCTTAGAGACATTCTCCTAACAATATCTTAGAAACATTCTCCTAACAATATCTGAGAGACATTCTCCTGACAATATCTGAGAGACATTCTCCTGACAATATCTGAGAGACATTCTCCTGACAATATCTGAGAGACATTCTCCTGACAATATCTTAGAAACATTCTCCTAACAATATCTGAGAGACATTCTCCTGACAATATCTGAGAGACATTCTCCTGACAATATCTTAGAGACATTCTCCTGACAATATCTTAGAGACATTCTCCTGACAATATCTTAGAGACATTCTCCTGACAATATCTTAGAGACATTCTCATGACAATATCTTACAGACATTCTCCTGACAATATCTTAGAGACATTCTCCTGACAATATCTTAGAGACATTCTCCTAACAATATCTTAGAAACATTCTCCTAACAATATCTGAGAGACATTCTCCTGACAATATCTGAGAGACATTCTCCTGACAATATCTGAGAGACATTCTCCTGACAATATCTTAGAGACATTCTCGTGACAATATCTTAGAGACATTCTCCTGACAATATCTTAGAGACATTCTCCTGACAATATCTGAGAGACATTCTCCTGACAATATCTGAGAGACATTCTCCTGACAATATCTGAGAGACATTCTCCTGACAATATCTGAGAGACATTCTCCTGACAATATCTGAGAGACATTCTCCTGACAATATCTTAGAGACATTCTCCTGACAATATCTTAGAGACATTCTCCTGACAATATCTGAGAGACATTCTCCTGACAATATCTGAGAGACATTCTCGTGACAATATCTGAGAGACATTCTCATGACAATATCTTAGAGACATTCTCCTGACAATATCTTAGAGACATTCTCCTGACAATATCTGAGAGACATTCTCCTGACAATATCTGAGAGACATTCTCCTGACAATATCTTAGAGACATTCTCCTAACAATATCTTAGAGACATTCTCCTGACAATATCTTAGAAACATTCTCCTAACAATATCTGAGAGGCATTCTCCTGACAATATCTAAGAGACATTCTCCTGACAATATCTGAGAGACATTCTCATGACAATAACTTAAAGAGATTCCACCGACAATAACTGAGAAATAATAGAACTTACTTTTACATTAAATGTATTTAAGCCTCCTGGATGCTTCTCCAAATACTGGCTTAAATCTGTATTCTGAAATAAAACAACAAACAAAAACAGTATTAACATATAATTATTCCTGTCTAGTAACAAAGGATTGTCCTTGGGAAAACTGATGTAATAATTTTCTTTCATATTCATGCATATTGGTTTGAAATTATTCTGCTCACATCCAATTAATATAAAATTCCTAATCAGTACAAGCTTATTGTATTATATTAAAAAGCACCCTGTACATGTTCATGCTATTATCGTAACTTCTACTTCCCTGCTTCTTTGAAAACTCTAATAGAGTACATATGTATACTTGTTATACTAGAATTGTCTACTTACTACAAATTCAAAGACAAATGTGAGGGTTTCTTTCGTGTGGATGATATCATGTAATGTAACAATGTTCGCATGTTTAAGACCTTTCAGTAGAGAGGCTGAAATACAAAAAAAAACGTTTTATTCTAACATGTGCACAAACTTTTAAAATAGGCATTTACAAATCATGCTAATCCAAAAAGATGCAGTACTAACTTGTCTTTGCATGGGGCCAATATTCATCATCAAATCAAACAACATTAACCCCTGGGAGAGGACACTCATATCAAGCTTTCATAGCTTTCTGACCAATCCCAAAATGTATTGTGTAAGTATTGTTCACCATACATAATCATGATAATGTAAATATATTGAATAAATATGTTTAAACAAACCCCTACCCTATGCTGATTTTTCTTAAATGGACTTGACCAGCAATCATTTTTGGAACTGACCATTATGAATAAGGGGATATCAAGATGAAAACTTTTAAGTTGATCGACTACCAGTAATAATAGAGTCTGGTCAGACTGCATGGATGTGCAGGCTGGCCTGGCCAAAGGCTTATCACTTATTTTTCAGCAAGTTAATTAAGCTTTGACTTGATGTGTATTACAAACTAATGTACTTCTTTGAATTTGTAATTTTCCTTTGGTTATACAGTCCATTTTTCTGTATAAAATTGCAGATATTAACTTAAGGACCTGAATCAGTATAGGTGGCAACAGGCAGGTCACTTGGAAAACAATTATCGTGTTAAGAAATAATAGACCTTCACACAAGACCTCCAAAGTAGATGAATATGGGTCTTGCATTTTAAATTATCATGCATTGTATTGCTATAATTAATTTATGTTTAAAATGCTTAATATCAAATACTATCTTGTTAAAAGATTTATTACAATACTTGTATATATCTAAGCAATTCTATTATTCTATAAATATTTCACAATCATAATAAACCATATTATTACCCCTCACTTTTTTCGTAATGCTAATTTCCCATAGGCCCCTGGGAGTTATTTTTACTGTTAATGCAAGTGTACCACGTGACTAAGAATTTTGTACTGTTACATAGGTAACAGTATTTTTTAACAGTATAAAATCTGGTCATGTGGTCTATTTTCTAAATAAAATGAAATAAAATGGCCGCCATTTTTCTCTCGATTCATTCTTATTTTCGACGTTAAACCCCGATAGGACATCAATTTCTTCTCTCGAGTAACTATGACACCCATAAAATTTAGTTGTTCGCAACCTGGTGTGCTTTTCGTGTATAAAATATCTTTTTGTTGAATAGTCAAAAAGTGAACATCCGTTTTCAACCGAAGTAATTGCAATGTAAATAATTATGTGTCATCCTGGAACATGCAGACGATTTAAGCATGCAACAAAGGATTATTTAACAATTTTAATCCGTGAAACATTACAGATATGGTGGACAGACATAGGATATCATCGTTATTTTGTCAAAAACGATGCTAAGAATATTCTGGAAACAGAAGGATCAGATTTCACAGATCATAACCGTGTAAATGGGTTAGTGATTTGTTTTCTAAATAAAACCTAGCTTATTGTATGTTTATGATTTGTAGATATCATCACTTGCTTAAAGAATAAAAGAGAAAGAAAACTTCTCAAGTAGGCCTTAAGTACACTTAAAGCTTAAAAGGTAAGGACAGTTTAGTTATTGTTACTCTTGGTTTATTTTTGTTACAGTTAGATTTAGTTGACAATTTCAGATCATCACAGTATTTTTGTTCGGAGTAATAAAATAAATAACACATGGGTTTGTAAGTAACAGTAAAAATATCATCCCTCGTAAAATACTGTTACCCTCGGCTACGCCTCGGGTAACAGTATTTTACGAGGAATGATATTTTTACTGTTACCCTCAAACCCATGTGTTATTTATATATTATACCCCTCGCTAGTTTTGCAATTTTAATTTCCAATAGGCCAATGGAAGTTATTCTTACTGTAAATAAGACTAAAAATCTGTACTGTTACATAGGTAACAATTTACTGTTTTGCAGTAAAAATCTGAAAAATAACCTATATAAACTGTGTCCCAATAAAGTATTTGTCCGCAGTAATAAAATTAATAACACATAGGTTTGTGAGTAAACTGCAAAGTTACCAAACAATATTTTCCTAGGAATGATATTTCTACTGTTACTCACAAACCTATGTGTTATTTATATAACAACATTGAAATATTTTTAACATTTTTCAAGATCATTTTATATAAGACAAAAAAATACTATCAATATCCTAAGATACCAAGTTTTCTAACAAAAGTTACTGCTATTTATACACTTTCTAGCAGCACAAAAAACAAAACATAATGAGTTTAAAATGTGCACCATAATTAAAATTACAATTTATAAAGTTAAGTATCAACTGGGTGGTAAACTGCTTGAAACTAAACTTGAACATATTTTCATAAATCTGGAAGCTTTTCAGAAATAGTCACAAAAACTGAGGGCGGCCTGAACGTGTAGTTTTAAGTTTAAGTTCTGGCTCAGACATAATACAGTCTATGTGTTCTATATTTAGAATCATAATTCTGTAATATTTCATTATGATTTATGAAATTTCTAAGGCAGAGAAAATTTAATAAATCATTACAGTTTTCTGAGGAATATTTCCAGCAGTCGGACACCTAAGACGGATTTACGACTTAAACTAAAAGCCAAGTTTTAATGCATAAATCCTCCAAACAAAATACCATCGTATCATCAACGCTTGTTTTGAAACTGAAACGTTACAACCCTATATAATCCTACATGGACTCATCCATCTTTCAATCTGGGTAAAACCATTTATCATTTTTAGGGAAAGATTTCAAATTAAGTATTGACTGGATCCTGAAAAGTGCTGATCATGATCAGGAAGCATGGATACTGTATAAGTGGTTAATAACGTTAACGACGTGGAAGTGTAAGTGAATTTCGCAAATTGACGAAAATCGCTAAAAATTTTCTCTAGCCTAGATATCAAACAACCCATCATTAAATTCTACCTTTGCATAATTCGCTAATATTTCCTCATGTGAAATGTCTGGAATTCTAAATTCGAAAACTTTTCGACTCGTGGAAATATCCGCTTATACAGTATGCCAGCTTATCCTGAAATCCCTTAATTTTTTAAATGTACTGTTCCATATTCAAAGTGGGGCAATCTTTTACAAAAATTCAAGTTCAGACAGGTTTATAGCTAAGCATTAATTAATATGATCCAATAGTCTTAAAGGTAACTCTTGGTAACCTGACTATTCAGTATGTACAAAAATCTCTTTCATGGTAAAATGAACAACTCATCACCTTAGTGCAGTAACAGGTTAACTAATTATATAATTTAATAGGAGAGTTAACCCATTACTGCACTAACATGACAAAACTGATCCTGAATCTGAAACATAATCATGTCATGAATGAAAATGCTTTCATTGGCATTTTTGAAATTTTTTTTTATATCATGAAATATCAACGTTGGGACCCACCGTAAACATTCCGTATATACTACATGTATACAGTAAATATCCTGGGTTACCAAGGATGATGAAACATATGAAACAGCTTCTTATATAAAACAGTGTTATACAAATTTGAATTATTTGCACTGAATATTTTCTGAATATCCATAAAATATACATCTCATTTGAATATATATTTGTTTTTGTTATGTTATGTTTTAGTGATGCTGATTACTACATATATTTGGTCACATCTGAGTACTTAGTACATCTTACACATGCTTTCCTGGATATTTAAACAGTAAATACCAAATTCTCCGCAAGTGACCGAATAACTTAAATACCACATGATTTCTTAACCAGTGGTGTGGTCACTTGTGAAATAGAGCAATCTACAACTAAGCTAAATGAAACATTTGTATATTTACCCTAGTCTGATAGCAATTTTCACCAGGAAACAATTTTGAAATAAGTAAATCATGAGTTACCTTCCCTGATTGCAGTAAATGGAACACCCTCTTCGGGTTGAATTCGGATTTCTTTCAACGCTACAACCTGGTCTGTTAAACTGTAAAATAATAAAATTATAATCATTATTCTTAATTCACGCTTTTTTTCTTAGGGAAAAAAATTGTTACATAAAATATCAAATATCTAAATATCTCTGCAAGTTTTGTTGTTTGTTTCATTTTACGCCTTTTCCCAACAGTATTTCAGTCATATAGGCGGGTAGTTTCCTAACCATCATTCCTGGAGAGTTACATCAGTACTAGACTACCTTCCTCCGCGCTAAACTACCAAAGCATCTCCCGGGGATCGAACCCACGCCAGAGAGGTAACTGGATTTGAAGTCATCGACTCTAACCCCTCAACCATAGAATCTCTGCAAGTATTGATGTTGTACTATAGGCAATAAGTAAAGAGCGTAGGTTAGTCACTATATTATGCCATAATGATTTAAAGCAGCATGCCTCCAGATTCATGCTTTTTTTCATGAAAATTTGAAAATATATTTAATGTATTTAAAAGTAAAATATTGTGAAATTAACAAACATGTTAATTTATTATTGTAAGTATATACACAGAACAAGCTTCTGAGTTATTGATTTCTTAATTTAGACAAATCCTTAGCTTGACTTTTCATCTCTTAATTATCAGAAATCTGCTGACTTAATCATATTTTATGTTTTCATATATTTTATTGTATTCATTGCGGGGACAGATTTCATACAAAATTGTCTGGTTGGCAAACATTTCCGTTTTTTCTTGGGGGATTTTATTTATCACAACAGACAAAACGCTAATCAATAATGCATGTAATATACTCCTTCTACAAGGTTTTGTTTTCTGATTGTGTTATTTCCTAGTCACTTATACTTTTAAACCATAGTGTAAAACAAGAAATATTTAGCAGAAAAACGGACAGGCCTATGCTACCATGGGTGGGTGGGGGGATAACATATGGCATCGATGGAGAGAAAAAAGAGGGGAGTTGTGGCCTAGTGATAAAGGTGTCTGCCTCAACCCTGGGATCATGGATTCAAGCCCAACTTAGCCCTACATAGGTCACGACCATGTTTCTTCATATGACACCATTCTGGTTAGCAGACCAAAAAGTGATTAATATAAGTTGAAAGAACTTGTTGCACAATCGAGCTTAAAACTAAAAAAAATATTTTCTTTTCTTTTTTGCAAAAATAATTTTGAATTTATAAACCCTAAACCCCCTTTTCAAATGTGAATATAATTTCAAACAAATATCTTCCCCCACCACCCCAAAAAATTGAATATTTTTTTCCATTCTAGCATGTGCAGCGTAAAACGTTCTAAATTTAAAGCCAGGCCTGTCCATTTCACAAATTTGGCAGTGGTGTTAGGCTTAATTTGTTTAACTACACAAGCTAATAAAATGAAAATTAGATTGAAACTTTGAGACCATATCAGGGGAGACAATTTGCAGGGGAGACAATTTGTGGAAGGAATTTGCATGGCTAAAATGCAAGAGCCATAATAAAACTGTATCATCTCTCCAGAGTATTCTTGTCTTTCTTATGTTAATATTTCTCCTTCAAGAACTTGCAAGTTTTAAATCATGTCTGGAACATTTGGATTTTATGTCTAAAAACACTTTATGTCTACAGATTTGGTTTTTGTTTTATTGGCTGTTTTAAGTTTTATGTTGACAACCATTCAGCTTTACTAGTGATAAACAAGAGCTCAGGTCCCTCCATGTGCATTATTTTCAAACACTGTTTTACATGGTTCATCTTTATATCACAGTACTCAAATGTTAATTTTAGCTCATTATACAAGAAGCCTTACTATAGGCAAGCACAACTATTTGATGAAATTATTGTCAATTTATCATGATTCATGTCAGCATTATCTCAAATTTTCTAGATATTTGATTGAATCAGAATGTCAACTTTGTATGTTTGTTTTACTTTTTACCAACCAGTACTGGTGTCATATGAAGAAACATGGTCATGACCTGATTAGGGCTCGAACCCATGATCTCTGGGTTGAGAGGCAGACACCTTAACCACTAGGCCACCGTTCCCCTTGGCAAGCAATACTGACCTGCTGATGCCCTTATATACAGTTGCATATGAACCTTCTCCAAGCTGCTCCAGCTTTTGATATGATTCTGCCCTACCAAATGGACCATTACCCTGAAATTTCAACAACATAAAATAAGTTTATCCCTTAAATTTAATTACACATATGAACCATTACCCTGAATATTGACAGAATTTCTGTATCATATGTATTCATCACATAACCTAGGCACATCAAAAGTGTGATAAATAGAGGAAATTGAATTAGTGTTAGTTCAATACTGAATTTATTAAACTAGTTGAATAAAATTATATTACGTGAGCCTCTGAGCTTACACAAATTTAATATTCTATTTATCACATACCCATAATAAAGACAGTTTAAAGGGAATTTTTTTTTTTATTGACATGCCTATATTAAAACACCATCATTTAGTGTGACTTTACACTATGTTTGTATAACACTAATGACGTCATGTCAAAATATATGCACGGCCATGCAAAATTGGCACAGGTTTTTTTGATAAACTCATTCAATAAAATCATATCACATCAAAGTGTTAAATACAAACATAGCATTGAAACACTCTTAAGTCTGTTAGCGTTACACTATAGGCGTGTGTCGCATGTCAATGAAAAATGACTCTTTTTAGCTGTAAACTGTTCTTATTTTAGATACATGATAAATGAAATATTATATTCATGTAGACTAAGAGTCAAATTACTAACGGTCTTCAGGTAACAAGCATCATTCTAACAATGCCTCAAAACCATTATTATAAACGTTATAAAATCATGCTTGCCCTTTCTAAAGAAGTTAAAATTTATTTGTTTTGAGGTATTAAAATGTACCTTTAATGTTTTCATACAATATACAATTGAAAACAAAAGTTAATGGTACCCCGTAACTGGAAGCCCGCTTCTGAGCAAATGTTTGATGATATGCGTGGCCCTCGGATCTAGGTCGGCCCGATCTTTGATCATCTGTCCCATTAAACTGGGCGTCATCTAACATATCACCGGCCGAATGATGCCGCTTTACAGTAGCGTGGCTATTAGCTGAAAATAGATATATTAATATCTTATGACCGATATACACATATGTTGGCTGCATATCACAGATTACTGTTATACACAATGCATCTAAAGAAGGAAAATACACAAGCTAACTTCAGCTGACGGCTACAAATTGTACAAATTGGCTGCAGTGCAGGTGTGACGGCTCTATAAGATTTTACTGTATTAATTGTAATTAACTCTTACAAAATCTGCAAATATTCCATAAAATCTAGCATTGCCCCATTAACAAACAGTCACATGATCCAATAAAAAAAAAGTGCCACCAATTATATTAACCATAGTAATTTTTTTTTTAAATGATTTGTCAAATGTCACAACGACAAACAATCATTCACTGACATAAGACTATGGACACTGTAAACCTGCGGCCACTGTCAGATATTCAAGTACAAATCAGTTACAAAAAAGTTCTACTTGCATTCTGAATGCCCATGTACAAGTATATGCTAGAAACTGGAATAATTTTTTTACCTTCATATTATTGGTTATCTAAATACATTTTGTCTAAGCTCAATAGACATATAAAATATTAATGCGGCAGTGAGGCCGGGTGGCAAATATATCACACAAATAATGTACGACTGCTAAACATGACGGTTCAAACTGCATCATGGGCAAAGCTATTGTTTTCTTAAGCAATGAACTTAACATAACAATAAATACATTTTTAAAGTGCACAAGTCAGACCTTAATTATGTCTTTCTTTCGAGTAGCCCGGGTGTAGATTTTCCGAGGTTTGTGAAAAAAACCATGGAAACTGCTTCAAAAACCTTGGAAATAAACCAGTTTTACAAGTTTTTTTTTTAATTCCGAGGTTTTTCTTAAAACCTTGGAAACTTTATCCAAGGTTTTTGGTATAAAATCCTTGGAAATAAAGAAAACCTTGGAAACTATCTCGGAATTTAAACACTCTGCCAAAAATCAGCTTGGAAAAAGCTTGGAAATGAAGAACTTTGTCATTTTTTTGCTCGGAAAAGAACTTAGAAAATTTACGTAAATTTGTTGGAAACACTTTGCCAATATTTAGCTTGGAAATGACCTCGGAAATTTGTACTTTACTAAATTTCATCTCGGAAAATGTTAAGCCATAATGGTAATCATGATTTAACTTAACAAGGGCATCAAAAGCAATGATCAACAGTTAAAGCTGGCAGATTTACTCAAACCAAGCTACCAACCCGGCTGTAGATTGCCCATGGATATTTATTTAATCCATGGTCAGAGCAAACAGTTGTCCATGGTTAGTCCATGCAAGACAGCATGGTCCAGGGAAATCAATTTTCAGTATGGACATTGTCAATGGCCAACTACCTTCTCAATAATTTTTTTCTTTAAATAATTTCTGAAGCAATTTATTTGGGAAAAATCAATTAAAAAATTAAAGTGTGAAAACATGGAATATTTAACCCATTACTTCATGAGCATTTTGTGAAAAATGGCTGTTTTCATTGAAAAGTCTCCCGTTACAAGTTCAAATTGCTATAATACTATAAAAACTGCTTCAACACTAATCAAACTTGGCACAAATGTTGACTGGACCATTGCCCTTGCAACAACATACTCAGGCTTAAATTTTCTGTTACCATGGCAACGAGGGGACATCTCAAAATTGCCAAAAATCACTATTTTGCGTTGATTTTTTCAATCAAAATTGATTTCAAAGTGCTGCAACTTCTCAATGGATTGAGATAGAGTCAAATGCTTTTCAGCGTTGGTTACACGTTACCTTATGATCAATCTGGGGTCATTTACAGCCTCTAACAAGTCCAAAATTTTCTTGGCGATGAGGGGGACTCCGCCCCCCTTCAAACCCCCCCAAACAGAAGGGGGCACATCCCCCTTCTGGCAACCCCCTGATGTATCTTTTGGTTGGGGGGCCGCGCCGAAAAAGAGGTCACTTTTTTTAACAACATTTCTCAAACAAAAACAAGTGTTGGGGGCCTAAATAAGGCATTTTTTTCATCATTTGAGACAACAAAAAGGGGGGGGGGGGGTGAAAAAGGCGTTAAAAGGCGTGTATATGAAGTAATGGGTTAACAGAAAATGATGAAAATACTTGAAATTACCCTAAATCGCGTTTTTTCATGTTTAAACATGGCTTGTCATATAAATTTGAAGAAAAATTGTTGTTTTGTAGATTTTTTTATTTTTTCATTAACCATTACTTCATGAGCATTTTGTGAAAAATGGCTGTTTTCATTGAAAAGTCTCCCGTTACAAGTTCAAATTGCTATAATACTATAAAAAACTGCTTCAACACTAATCAAACTTGGCACAAATGTTGACTGGACCATTGCCCTTGCAACAACATACTCAGGCTTAAATTTTCTGTTACCATGGCAACGAGGGGACATCTCAAAATTGCCAAAAATCACTATTTTGCGTTGATTTTTTCAATCAAAATTGATTTCAAAGTGCTGCAACTTCTCAATGGATTGAGATAGAGTCAAATGCTTTTCAGCGTTGGTTACACGTTACCTTATGATCAATCTGGGGTCATTTACAGCCTCTAACAAGTCCAAAATTTTCTTGGCGATGAGGGGGACTCCGCCCCCCTTCAAACCCCCCCAAACAGAAGGGGGCACATCCCCTTCTGGCAACCCCCTGATGTATCTTTTGGTTGGGGGGCCGCGCCGAAAAAAGAGGTCACTTTTTTAACAACATTTCTCAAACAAAAACAAGTGTTGGGGCCTAAATAAGGCATTTTTTTTCATCATTTGAGACAACAAAAAGGGGGGGGGGGTGAAAAAGGCGTTAAAAGGCGTGTATATGAAGTAATGGGTTAACAGAAAATGATGAAAATACTTGAAATTACCCTAAATCGCGTTTTTTCATGTTTAAACATGGCCTGTCATATAAATTTGAAGAAAAATTGTTGTTTTGTAGATTTTTTTATTTTTTTCATTAACCCATTACTTCATGAGCATTTTGTGAAAAATGGCTGTTTTCATTGAAAAGTCTCCCGTTACAAGTTCAAATTGCTATAATACTATAAAAACTGCTTCAACACTAATCAAACTTGGCACAAATGTTGACTGGACCATTGCCCTTGCAACAACATACTCAGGCTTAAATTTTCTGTTACCATGGCAACGAGGGGACATCTCAAAATTGCCAAAAATCACTATTTTGCGTTGATTTTTTCCATCAAAATTGATTTCAAAGTGCTGCAACTTCTCAATGGATTGAGATAGAGTCAAATGCTTTTCAGCGTTGGTTACACGTTACCTTATGATCAATCTGGGGTTATTTACAGCCTCTCACAAGTTCAAAATTTTCTTGGCGATGAGGGGGACTCCGCCCCCCTTCAAACCCCCCCAAACAGAAGGGGGCACATCCCCCTTCTGGCAACCCCCTGATGTATCTTTTGGTTGGGGGGCCGCGCCGAAAAAGAGGTCACTTTTTTTAACAACATTTCTCAAACAAAAACAAGTGTTTGGGGCCTAAATAAGGCATTTTTTCATCATTTGAGACAACAAAAAGGGGGGGGGTGAAAAAGGCGTTTAAAAGGCGTGTATATGAAGTAATGGGTTAACAGAAAATGATGAAAATACTTGAAATTACCCTAAATCGCGTTTTTTCATGTTTAAACATGGCCTGTCAAATAAATTGAAGAAAATTGTTGTTTTGTAGATTTTTTAATTTTTTTCATTAACCCATTACTTCATGAGCATTTTGTGAAAAATGGCTGTTTTCATTGAAAAGTCTCCCGTTACAAGTTCAAATTGCTATAAATACTATAAAAACTGCTTCAACACTAATCAAACTTGGCACAAATGTTGACTGGACCATTGCCCTTGCAACAACATACTCAGGCTTAAATTTTCTGTTACCATGGCAACGAGGGGACATCTCAAAATTGCCAAAAATCACTATTTTGCGTTGATTTTTTCAATCAAAATTGATTTCAAAGTGCTGCAACTTCTCAATGGATTGAGATAGAGTCAAATGCTTTTCAGCGTTGGTTACACGTTACCTTATGATCAATCTGGGGTCATTTACAGCCTCTCACAAGTCCAAAATTTTCTTGGCGATGAGGGGGACTCCGCCCCCCTTCAAACCCCCCAAACAGAAGGGGGCACATCCCCCTTCTGGCAACCCCCTGATGTATCTTTTGGTTGGGGGGCCGCGCCGAAAAAGAGGTCACTTTTTTTAACAACATTTCTCAAACAAAAACAAGTGTTGGGGGCCTAAATAAGGCATTTTTTTCATCATTTGAGACAACAAAAAGGGGGGGGGGGGTGAAAAAGGCGTTAAAAGGCGTGTATATGAAGTAATGGGTTAAATCAATTCCTTGTTGACATAAAATACATTTATTAATGGCTATAAATGTATTGCATCTAATGATAATAAAAGAAATACTATTCAAATAACTGATGATCAGAAAGACTTAAAAAAAAAAAATTGTCATTTTTTTTTATTATTTATAATTATTGTTACTAGATATCTTCTCCATTTTTAAGAATAGTGTAAGAGCAAAACTATAATACAGAAAGAAACAATCAGTATTTATGTCTATTAGTTTCCAAATGCATCAGTATTTTTCCTAAAGTTTCTTTCTATATATAGACTTAACTTAGGGTTTAAGCAACACTGAAATAAGAATGCTATATAATCTTTAATCTATGTTTTATGCCATATAAAATAGTATATTCTACAAAAAAATCTGTGACATACATTCAGATTACAATTTACTCTGCCATTAATTTATGTGTACAATAAACATACATAGTTATTAATTGTCCTTTAATTATAATTATGTACAATTAAATGTCTGAAATATAATAACCAGTATGCTTGATAATTTCTTATAATTAGGATAAATAAATACTGCATCCACTAAGATTTCACACACAGAATATAACACACTGATCAGATAAAACTAATGGCACCCCAGGTGGTTTCCTCTATCTAAGCATGATCAATCTTCTCATTGGGCATTCTGGGAAGACCAGATTGTTTCCATGTGATTATTCAGG